ATGGTCCCTTTTTGGGTCACCTAAATTAGGCCTTGTATTAAGCCCTGTATTCTATAATAGGGACCCAACAGGGACCATAATTTTGACAATCCCCCACATGCTGAGTGAGCTGCTTTGCGGGTTCTCAGTACGACTGCTGAAACTCCCAATCAAAGGCTAGGTCGCAGGGCTTCTGAAGGTGTCTAGACATGCCCTTCTCATTCCTAAACCGCAAGCGCTGCATCCTGAACCTCTTCTTTTCCAAAGAGTAGTCAACCAAGGACATCTCAAAAATCATGATCACTGTTATTCCCTGACACCTACGAAGATCGTATTAATGCAGTCCGTAACTCTATCAGAGAAGAAACACTTTGGCATTAAAGGCATCTTTCAGGCACCTCCCAACTGAAAGCCAAGTCACCGCTTGCGCCATCCTGGGCAAATTCTCACCCTACAGGCATCTCAGACATGAATCGGAATACATGAAATCCCAAAGGCTATGACCATAAACCCTAAACAACAGACGCTAAACACTAAGCCAAGACGTCTGAAGGATCTTCATGCCAGGTGGCCCGTACTCAGCAATTGTTTTGTTTTGGGCATTCAACAGCAGGCCGGCTACACCTTCTGATGGAACAAGTCCGGCATCACAGAAATTTCCCTAGCTCCTGGGAATCACAGTACTTTCTAACGTCCATAGTCCCCCTTAGGTAGATAGAATATGGGTATCTGGGGATCTTACTATACTATACCCAAAGCCATATTCCATCTACTTAAGGGGGACTGTATGTGGTGCAAGATCTCCTCCATCAACAAAGGGACTATGCGATGTATGCATACGGCTGGAGTTGAGTTCGAAGATTGAAAGGCAAGAAGGTTTGGACTTTAGGTTTTAAGGGAGCCCCGACAACGGACATCCTAATGTCTGTTACTGGGGGTTCAGAATCAGTTCTTCTGCAGAGGAAGCCTCCATGAGTATGCCGACTACGCAGTGCTGTGGCCGCTCTGCGTCCATGAGCCCAGAATCTACCCACGAAGCCCCATATCCTTTGATTTGGGAATGTACCTTAAATCATACTAGAGATCCCTGATAGAATTAAAGGCATATTCCCCAATTAAGGGATATTGGGCTTCCTGGATAGCAGGGACATGAACTCACAGAACCTGTTTGTCTGCACTCCAAGCCGTGACCTCAAACACGGAGGCCCCCGGCATTCCAACTGTCCAAAAGGTGGTTGTTTAGGGGATTATAATATAGGGTTTAGGGTTTAGGGTTCAGGGTTTAGGGCTCAAGATCTGATACTCAGATCTTGGCAACATTCAGTTCAAAGACTTAGATGAGGATCGTGAGCGGTGTCAATGCAGGAGAAAGTTGTTTCTGTTATGTGCGAACCCGGTCTGCGTATAGGAACAACCCTAAACCCTAAACCATTATTAAGGGGATTTACACCCCCACTCCCCCTTAAGCAGAACTAAAGCAGCTTACGATTTGGGCTTCCACGC